TTTAATAAAAATTGTATTTTGGGAACTTTTAGTGATGGCTTGCCGTACATGAAAGTCAGATTGGTTTCTTGTATTATACTTGTGATAGAGCGAATTATATTGAATTTTTTCTAATAGATCTGATGCGATGGTACTGTCATTTTTATTTTATAAATAAATATCAGTCATGTACTGAATATAATTCTGAACTGAAAGCCAATTTATTTCTTTTAACATAGTTGCAATACTCATCCTTCTGTCCTTTATTAATAGAATATAAATAGGCGAAGTAAGAAGCCCAAATATTTTACATGAGCAGGCTTAAGAGGTAAAGGAGCCAATTATTATTGGATAAATTGCTCGAACAAATTTTTAAACCCTAATCAAAAGGCGATATAGAATGGTTTTAAAAATCATGGCTTGTGAAAATCATCAAATGGTTTAACCTAAGTAATTCCAATGCTTCACAAACCAAAAAATTCAACGTGCTAATACTACTATCCGCTTTCGGTATTTCGTTCCAAGTTAAATCATTTCTCGTTTTTATTACGCTACGAGTTTACCATTGTGGGCCTCAGTCTCGATAAGGTGGGAACCACCATTTTAGCGTCTCTCGAATTTTTTATTATAATCAAATATATGGAATGTCAATATGGTATAAAAGTACATAAGAAAAGGTTTAGCTATATTTTTCCAAAAATTAACATTTAACTAAAAAATCATAAATATTGAAAACAAGGGTCCAACATTTGTTTTGATTAATTTTGAAATTTGAAAGTTCAAAACCTGTTTTTCTTCCCTAATTTGGCAGCTTTAGTAAGTAATATATAGGGTGGTACCTCAATTATTAGATTTTTATCTAGGTGGTCAGTTTTTGGAAGAGAGGGGAGGGTCTTAAACTGGAAGTTACACGAATCGTCTGGTATATCAAATGAAAATTTTTTGTAGCACGATTTCAAAATTGCATAATAGGTACATTCGTTTGCGTTAGTTTTTTTAATACATACTTTTTCGAAAAAAAAAAAAACGCTTAAAAGTTGCTGTCCACCTATAATTAACGCTCAGAATAATCTAAGAAATTCCAAAACTTTGAAAATAAAGTGTAGATTACAGAAAATTATGATATTGCGATGAATATATTTTTTTTATTCTGAGAAAGAAAGCTTTTACCTGGCTGCAGGGTATCTATTCTTGAATTTCAGGGAGTAGAAATTTTAAGGGAAGAATGAGACAAAAATACAAATTTGTGCATTGCAGATAAAGAAGAATAACCGGATTTCCATTCCCTCGAATATATACCCAAACCTGCGTGAAATTTTGAGTAGGACGATTTTTTGTTAGGAAACGTATAGAAGGTGTTCTAGCAAGAATTTTGAGCTTAGGTGGACATCTACAACCTGATACATTTTTCAGATATGACGTCATCAAAGATGGCAGCCTTGCGATCACAAAACTGCTCGTATCTATTATAATACTTAATCGAATTGCATGAAACGTTCACTTTTTAAATTACTTTATAAATATAATAGAAGGAATATTCGATACAAATCATGGATCGTAATAATATCAACGATTATTTTCCTTATGTTTTTAAAGGAAAAGCATGTTGATAAATGCGGATATGGCATTGGGACAAACCATTAATTATAGATCCCAAAAGAACTCCTCAGGCATTGTAGGGCGTATTAAACAAAAATAATTTGTAGTAGAATGGAAGATAATACATCATGAGGGTCTGATAATATCGAATATATCTAGAACTAACAAACTCCATTGCTTTTGTCGAAGGTTTGCATATCCACCATTAGTTTTCTAAGAAGTAAACCCAGAGCATAGATGTGATAAGTGATAACCCATTTCTTATGCTACCTAATCTATTACACAATTTAGTAACAAAACATATTTAAAACCGATGCCAATTTCTATTCTACACTGCACAAAACACAATACGAAGATAAAAAACAATAAGGATCTCAAATAATATCATAGTAACTAGATGGCTATGTCGTACTTTTTTGACTAATGAAAATTTTTGAAATTAAAACCTAAAAAATAGCAAATAATGTTGAACAAAAGATGAAATTTGATAAAAAATAATGTAAAACCTGTGAACAAATTATTAATCTTGCGAAAACATATTAATTTTAGGGAGACAAAGTTGATGGTCAGATATATCTGTTATTTAGATTGTGTCGTCTAGCTTGATCATTTTTATTTGATTTGACTTAGTAGCTTGACATGTATGATATGCAGTTACATGCTTTCGGATTTAGTTCACTGAGTGTTACAAACTTCAATCTAGCAATGCCTTTTCACTGACACAGGATTGCTGGAGTAATGATATGCATGTTCCTTCTTAGGCGACAGTGTCCGATGAGAAGACCTACTGTTATCCTAATGATTTCTCGTTTTTGATCCAGTAGGTTTTCGTGAACTTGACTGGCAGTTCTTAAGGAGGTCCTTTCCACCAATGTTAAATAAAAAATATTAGATTATGACTAAAATTAATTTTTTTCTAATAGAAGAAGTCCTTATTTATCTAATAGTGAACTTTAAACTATACCTTACCGTGCAAATTTTTGAGAATTTTTTTTTTAAATGTGTGTTTGTACAGTGTCTTACGAGAAAGTAAGACTTCAACAACAATTTTCGAATTATAATTAATTTTACTATTATTTATTGATTAGATGGAGTAGAAAAAAACTAAAAATAAGGTTTTTGAAATATTTAGGTTTTGTTTTTTACAATAAAATATATAGGTTACCGTGGAATTTATTGAGAAATTAATATTAAAAAATCACAAAAAATTTTCAACTAGGTTACTTCAAATTTTTTTTTTTATTAATTTCTCAATAAATTCCAAGGTAACCTATATATTTTATTTTTTTTTTATTTGGTGTAAGGCTTCAACATCTAAGGTCATTAGCCTAGTGTTCTATGTAGGTTATGGATTGTATTAGTAGTCTAATACTCCATAGTGCAGGAGTATTAGTACTCTAATACTCCTACACCCCTACAGACAGGCCTTGTTACTGTTTCCTTGCGCTACTTTAGGAACAGCACTGTTAATTAGAACCCAACAGTGAATGGTCGAGTGGGGAATCCTACCAAGGCATCAGAATTAATTTTAAATAATTAAATTAAATAAAAAAATCCCGGCCAACGGTGGGATTCGAACCTTGTAAAAAACAAAACCTAAATATTTCAAAAACCCTATTTTTAGTTTTTTTCCACTCCATCTAATTAATAAATAATAATATAATTCGAGAATTGTTGTTGATGTCTTATTTTCTCGTAAGACACTGTACAAATACTCACATTTAAAAAAAAATTCTCAAAAATTTGCACGGTAAGGTATAGTTAAAAGTTCAACATTAGATAAAAAAGGACTTCAACTATTAGAAAAAAAATAAATTTTAGTCATAATCTAATATTTTTTATTTAACATTGGTGGCGAAAGGGGTGGCGAAAGGACCTCCTTAATTAACTTTTTCGTCTTTTTCAATCCTGGATAATTGTTCCACTATTTCTGGCACACTGCCTTAGCAACTTCACAGAAGGGTTTTGGGCCTATCATGGCAATATCTGAGTCTTCTTATTCCTAAAAACTTACCTACTCTCTCATCAAATTTACAGTGTAAAAATTACATTTTTTAATATACTTATGTAAATGCCATTTACATCTTGACTAATATAATGTCAGTTCAAATACACTTAAAATATTGCAACTTTTGGGAACACATACCTGTGCATGATTCATCTCACGGTTTTCTTTATCACCTCTGCTTGTCCAATAACTATCAATCGACCAGTACAAATTTCTCATCCTTGGCTCACTCCGTTTTTGAAGAAAGCATGTCATACAATCCAGACTTTTACAGCCTGTTGCAAGAATTTTAATTAAAATTTATAAGTCAAATAATTAATGTAATATAATTATTTTATATTTCTATATTTTATTGGTTCAGTCTTTTAATGATGTCAGATAAGTGTATATAAGTAGTAAAGTCATTTAGTTTTCACTGTTCCAATTCATTCTTCAACCTTGTAAATAAGTAATAAGCAAAATCCAATGTTATACAGGTCGGTCCTTTAATAATATATTAGTTGTCTTTAAAATAATTAGTTAAGCCCTAAAATTATCACTCGCACATACACGTACTCGTGAGCTGCGATTACGTCTCAAACACATCCTCGTTAATTATAATTATAGTTATCGTTACTGTTTGTTAACTAGTATACTATTATGGCAGTTAATATTGTAGTTTTTCATTACTTTGTTAATAAAGTAATTATTGATAAAATGCCAATTTGAAGCAGAAAAACTAAGATTTCCTTTTTATCCGATATAACTTTTAATTTAAAAAATACTAGAAGAACTCACTAAAAGTTATTTTTATCGTCTTTTATCTTTTGATCTCGTTTTATCCTTTTATCTTATGGGCTTTCAGTGTTAAGAAAAGTAGTCTATTCAAGCTGTTTCGCGAAGTGTATAACGATTTCCATAGTTTCACAAATTAATCGTGACCCCTTTTAAAGTATTCGTAAATCTAAAGACTTTTAAAAGCATTTCTCGATTTACTTACTCCAATTTCTTTGCTTACGATGGCATAAATCTGTTACATCTCAGAGTTATTTTAAAATGAATTGTCCTATTGAAATTTATACACAGCGTGATCCATTAGTGTGGAATATATATTTTTTGAGGTGGGTTTTTTTTGGGTGGGGTATTTTTTATGGGGTTTTTATATTTTATATGGAGTTTTATGCTGCCTATCGTTCTGTAAAATGTTTTTCTTATATTTTTAATATTGCCGAAGATATTGGTATTTTTTACACTAAAAGAATACCCTGAATATATTGATGGATTTTAAAAGAACATTATGAGCTTATTTTTTATGTTAAACAGATATGTTTTGACTAAATAATTTCATTGTCCAAAAAGTTTTACTGTCGTTCATAATAAAATGAAAAAAATACGTTTTTAAATGGAATACTCTGTATATTTTTATATTACTTACAACAAATATGTTTCCCAAACTTGCAGTATTCTTTTATTTCATCTACAGTCATGCATGGTTCTTTAATAAATATTTGTTGAATTTGCTTGTCATTGGCCCAAAGGATTATTCTATCTTTTATCATACGGTCAACATAGCTCATCTTGCAATTATCTTTTGTGCACACAAAATCCCAACTAGCTGCCTGATTTTTTAATTCTGTTATGAAGGTTTTGATGTTTTGATCATCTTTTTGGACTATATTGTTGAATTTGAACGTTTCCATAGTGCTATTCTTGGCAAAAGTATATGTCGAAACAAGTTTTTTCATCAGGGAAAGTATTATACAGGGTGATCAACTTATACTCCGTTGTTTTGAGAAATACCAACAAAAGTATTAAATACAAATTATAGATAGAATCTAGCTTCACATTTTAAAATTATTTCGTAATATACAGGGTGTTTCATAAAGTCACAGCATACCAAAGTTTTTTTTTTAGTGAAACACCCTATATGTTATCTTATTTCCCCATACCGCCAATTTAGTGTTTTATCAGGTTCTACAGGGTACTTTTAAAGAAATGGCCACTTTTATGTGAAAATCTTAATGAAATCGTCACCCTGTATTATTAAGAATCAACAATTGAGGGTTAATCTCTCAAGGCCAGAATAATTTCGTAGTAGTCTAGTTTTGTTGCAACTCATCATGTTTTTATTTTGTATACTCGGTTATTTCAAATTGAACACCCTGCATCATTTTCATAAACTACACACAAAATACTTTTACTTTTGTTAAGCATTCCCTATACCTAAATGTTACAGTCATAGAGTTTTTTCGATTTTTAATAATAAAACGATATTTTTGGCAAATACTGAAAGTTTCTTATAGTTGGTTATGACTGCTGTATTTGACAGAAGGTATTAAGTAATGTTATGTTTGTCAACTAATTTTTATATAATATTTGAGTTTGGAGTCGGTTCTTCTTGTTGTTTGTGTATACAATTGTAACTGGTGAATGATGAATTTTTGCAATGAGGAAATTAGTCGATATGATCTGGATACTAGGAGAATGTCATAAAAATAGCTTGCTAGCAGTAAGGGTGTATCATGAAAGATTCCCAGAGCGCCGATTACCTGAAAAAAGAAATTTCGAGAAAGTCATGGATTGATTTAATCGTAAAGTTATAAAAAAAAGGAAAAAAACGAAAACCGTTATTACTGAGGAAAATGAACTTAATGTATTGTTAGCAGTTACGGATAATCTAAATACAAGTATACGAGAAATTTCCAGGGAACAAGAAATAAGCTATGGAAGTGTGCAAAAAATAGTATCAAACAATAAGATGCACCCATATCATATTCAGTTACCCAGGAATTGGATGATGATTTTCGGCAAAGAATAAACTTTTGTAATTATGCACAAAGAAAAATTCATAATCAAAGAGATTTTTTTTGATTATGTACTTTTCAGAAATGAGTCAACATTCCTTAAAAATGGTTGGGGAGATCAGTCGAAGATGGCGCGGCTGATAAGATGACGCAACCTTAAGTAAGTCCGGTCTCAGGAACATTAGAAATGATCATTTTTGAATTTCCCTCCTTTTATTGCACGTATTATTCGGGGCATTGTTTAAACGGTTAATTCTGGAGTCAGTTTGAATTCTGTAGTCGTGTGATTAGGTTAAGGTGTAATTATCTAATATTGGAGTGCTCTCTTCATAAAAGTAAGATAGTTATTTTAGACATTTATTCTATACCAACGTGATCTACGTATAAATTGGAACATTTTGGTATATAGATTATTTAATTATTTCTACTGGGTATATTTTTTAAATTGGTTTCTTTTTCATTGTTACCAGTCGGCGAAGATGACGCAAGCCGAAACGGATAAGATGCCGCGCGTCATCTTACCCGACGCTGGGATAAGATAAACAAATATGTCTAATTAAACCTCGGCAGTTTACTACTATCTTCCTTGATATCTCGATAAATGTTATCGATTATTTATTAGTAAAATATACTAAAAACTGCCAGTGAAAATAGGTTACTCTTATATAAAAAGTCAACTTGTGTTTTACAAAGACCTTTATTTTACAGATGGGCAAGTATATTAGGAAAACAAATAGAGTATATAGTAAAGAACAAATTGATGTAGCCATTGATGAAATTATTCGAGAGAACATTAAAATTCGAGAAGCAGGGAGACGTTTTGGAATTCCAGAAGCTACCCTCAGGCGGCACCTAAAATTAAAAAAAATAACGGAGCAAAAATCGTTATCACTAGGCAGACCTCAAGTTTTTAATTCTAATCAAGCACGTGAGATACGAGTTTACTTGCTACACTTAGCTAAATTATTCTTTGGTTTAACCAAAGACGAATTATGTAGATTAGCCTTTACGTATGCTGAAGCAAATCACATCAAACATCCTTTTAATACAGAGATAGAGAAAGCTGGTCATAACTGGTACAAAAACTTTCTAGCGAGGAATCCAGAAGTTGCTTTACGGAAACCGGAATCCACTAGTAATAGGATAACCGCATTTAATAAAATAGAGGTGGACCAATTTTACAAAAATTTAAAATCAGTCAGTGATGAATAGAATTTCCCTGCCGATAGAATGTACAATGTCGACGAGACAGGCATTTCCATAGTGTCAAAAGAAACTGCAAAACGGTTAGGTCCAAAAGGAATTAAACAATTTGGAGTCATAGCATTAGCAGAAAGAGATAAGAACGTGACGGGTATATGCTGCATGAGTGCTACTGGGTCATTTATTCCACCACTCTTTGTATACCTTAGAAAAAGAATGACTCCCCAACTGCAACGAAATGGTCCAATAGGTGCAGTATACCTGTGTTCCCCAAATAGTTGGAGCAACGAAGAAATCTTTTTTAAATGGATTTAACATTTTCAACAAAAAGTTGCATCCACACAACAGAATCCGGTATGTCTGGTTTTAGACAACCACAGCAGCCATATTTCCCTTGAAATTTATGAATTCTGTAGGATACATTTTATCATTATGATTAGTTTGCCTCCACATTCTTCCCATAAGATGCAACCCCTCGACATCACTTTCTTTGGACCACTTAAAAATGCTTTCGCAAAGCAGTCCCAACTTTTTATTAGATCCAAAATTAATTCAGAGTCCTAAGAATACAAATTAGCTCACTACGATTTGGCAGAAATTTGTAATCGCGCCTATCAGCAAGTAGCTAATATAGAAAAAGGAGGTTCAGGATTCCAGGTGACAGGCATTTATCCATTTGATGATCAAAAGTTTAAAGAAGAGGATTTTGCAGCAGCAGATAATCTTTCTACGATTAACGTCGAAACTGTTGCTCCGCCAAATAACAATCTTATTGTTGTTGAAGTCGACGAAGATAAAGAGAACAATTTAATTGAACCAGAAATATCATTACCACAACCCTCGACATCTGGAATACAAAATAGTAAGATACCTACTATCCCAATAGCATTTTCAACACTATCGCCAGTACCAACAGCATCAAAAAAGAAAACTGTGAGGGCTGTTAGAAAGAAGCAACATTCGGAAATACTTACTTCTACTCCTATTAGAGTCTTACTTGAGGAGAAGGAGGAAAAAAAGAAAAAGAAAGCTCTTGTTAACAATAATCAAATTAATAAGATTAAAAGAAACCTTATTAATAAAGAAGACATTAATGAAATAAATAACGGAAAAGAGAAATATATTCCAATGAAAAATAAAAATAGGCAGAAAAAGAAAAAGAAAAAAGCAGAATTTGAAACCGACAGCGAAACAGATGATATGGATAAAGATAATATTTGTGACGATGATGATGAACTGGATGATTTGCCTGGAAGTTCTGATAATGAACGATGCATAATGTGTAACGAATTTGGAAAATCTGAAGTATGGTACCGTTGTACGCTGTGTGCAAACTGGGTTCATAAAGACTGTAGTGGAGTCAACACTCCCAAGAATTTTAAATGCGATTTTTGTTTGTAAAAATTTATTTTTGAGTTTTAAACTAACATTTTCCTATTTTTTTTGTTTTTTTTTTTTGTTTAAAAATTTATATTTTTCTAATTTTTTCTTTATAAATAAAGTTAATTTTTATATTTATCGTTTTAAAGATTTTGTAACATCCATATCAACATCCATTATATTATGTATTTCGAAATCGTTCACATGCGCCATCTTAGCTACTCATATGCGTCATCTTTGACAAACATGCAGCTAAAATGACGCACTAACAGATTTTTTTATAAATTTAATTTCGACAGTATTTTTTAGATGTTGAAAAGTCTCGATATAAAATTCAATGGTATATACCTATTAATATATTGTGTGTTAATTCCGTCTTTGGATTGTAGTCCGAATTCAAAATATGAAATATTTTTGTTAGCCGCGTCATCTTCGACTGATCTTCCCTTTACTACTTCTCAAACAAGATGGTCTTTAAATGTTTAATGTGGTATTTATTGTTGGTGATTATGTAATTGGACCATATTTTTTTAGGGAAACAGTTAACAGTGAAGTTTATTTAGACTTTTTGGAGAATCAGTTGCCTATACTTATTGAAAATGTTCCTTTTCGTATACGTCAGCAAATGTGGTATCTACATGATGGGGCTCCAATACATCATAATGCAGTAATTCATGGTCAATTTGATGATCAATTTTCAGAACGATGGATAGGTAGGGGAGGACTAATTAAGTGGCCAGCTAGATCGCCAGATCTAACAAAAGTTATTTTTTCTGTGGGGGTATGTGAAAAAGGAGGTGTATAAAATACCTGTAACTACAAGATAGGACATTAAAAATAGAATTAGGGTTGTTTTCCAAAACATTAGTATTCCAATGGATAGAATGCGGGGAGGCCATTTGAATATTGGATACAACTCTATAATTATTTTGTTCTAAGTACTATTTCGAATTTTTTGTTTAGTTAATAGCTGTTAGTATTCATTGACAGTCTTGTAAAAAATCTGTAGTTTAATTTTTTATTTTAAGATTATTTATATAAAATTAACGTGTTTTTCCAGCTGTCAATTTCCAACTTTCAGTATTTACCAAAAATATCGTTTTATTATTAAAAATCGAAAAAACTCTACGACTGTAACATTTAGGCATAGGGAATGCTTAACAAAAGTAAAAGTAGTGTATGAAAATGATATAAGATATGGGGTGTTCCATTTGAAATAACTGAGAAAATCATTGGCTTTAGTTTTGGGTTACCTTGTATTCAAAATGACAAGATATCAAAAATATAATGAGTTGCAACAAAACTAGACTACC